AAAAAAGTTGCAATTGGACCACAGTGATCCAAATCCAGCCAGATGGATCTTGCCAATACCTGTTTGATTTCTACAAAACTGACCTGAGAAAAAAATTTTCATCTCCCAGGATTTGTTTCTGAACAGCCCTGCTGAGCCCACAGCTCAGTGGTTTTCAACCTGTGGGTCACGACCCCTTTGTAACAATGAAAATACATGGCGGCATTAGGAAGGTTGAGAACCACTGTCATAGCTATTATGGAGCTGCCTGCCCTGGGTACTTGGGGCTAATAGCCAACTCCAGAGCCACACAGCACCAGCTCAGGGCAGGCACAAACCAGCACTGCTCAGCATCTGCTCTGCCTAGCAGGTGACATGCACTCGATGTTCTCAGAGAATCAGGCAAGCACTGAACAATGGGAGAATAGGACAAAATCAGCACAGTGGATGTCAGCTGGAACTTCCTCCTCTGGGTCCTCATTTGAATATTATTTCCCAGGGGAACCTCTTGGCCGCCTCAGCCAAGCTTCCATTCATTACAACTCTTATCACTCTGTATTGTGACCAGCGCGCTGAGCGGAGCCAGGGCACACACTGCTTTGTTCAGTGCTGCATCCCTAGTGCCTAACATACCCATTTTAGCATTTGAAGGACGAGTGCTGAGCTGCATGATGCAGGCATCGATGCTATACAGACTCATAAGCAAGAAGAGTTAAGAGGGCAGACCTGTGTCAGAACCACGCTGTGGAGTTTAGCTACTGGGAGCACAGGTGTGTCTGATGCTAGGCCTTGAGGCTGGCCAAGACTCAGAGCAGGGACAAGCCTCATCTGCTTTTTACACCCCTACCCAGAGACCTACCAACTTATTAGGTACTCAGCTAGAGTTTTACACCCCTACCAGTTTTACACCCCTACCCAGGGGAGTTTTACACCCCTACCCAGAGACCTACCAACCTATTAGGTACTCACACCACTGCTAGAACTGAACCTCCCACACGGCCCCAAAACACAGGTACAGCAGGTTGGGGATAGGATGCCTGGCAGACACAGGGACATTGCTAGGCCCCAGGCTGGTCATCCTCACAACCCTCAGGGCTGAGGAATCAGTACTCCACCATGAAGCCACACACAGAGGCACCAAGGAGAAAGACTGTGTGGAACCAGAACTCAAGCCTGCTGACTCCTTTGCTGGCTTTACACTAACAGCCTCAAAGAACATGAAACTCTATCTGCCCTTAGCAAGCAGCAGTAGTGGGAACAAAGGCTGGTGCCCACCTTCTAATGGGGACAGCAAGGTGACCCATCCCACTGGCTCCCCTGGGGTTGCTCTCTATCTGTCTGGGAGAGATCAGGCATCTCAGCAGTCCTTAGCCTCGTGCGACAAACCCTTGCATCCTCTATGGTGATACCCAGGCTTCACAGACATGGGTTCTGGAACCATTTGAACTTTACCCTGCTCTGACCTCACACCCCTTCTGTCTCACAATCCTTAAACATGACTTAAAATGTGTTAGCTGCAATTAAGTGATGTGTATTACCTAAATCTCTAGATCCTCAGAGCTGCGATACATTTCTTATGGTACCTAACATGGAAATAAACCCTTCAAAATAAAAATGTATGCACAGGCTTTCATGCTATGCATGACACTTCCACCCCTGCCTCTCATCCTCTCACATGCTTTCTGTGGTAGAGGGCCTGGATACAGGTAAACCTCTTTTGCCAATCAGGTAGGGAAGTTCACAGAGGCCTAAAAGACATGGCCACAGTAGAGGTGGAGCTAAGACAAGAACCCACAACGCAGGGCCTAGGGAAGAGGCCCCAGCTGGACACCCCTGTAGGAGGAGCCTGCCCCAGAGGAGAGGCTGCACCTGCTGACTTACTCAGAGCGAGCTCTTTAAACTCCGGAAGACTGGCAGCGGCACAGAGCTGGTAAAAGATGTGGTAGTTCCTCTCATCCTCCGCCTGGAGGAGGGAAAGTGCAGCAGGGTCAGGGTAGTGACTTCCCAGACTGTACCCTCATCCCTTGTAACGCGAGTGCTCTAGGCAGTGGGGGCCCAGCCCACCACTTTTCCAATGTTTCCTCAACACCACTGCCACCTTCGATTCCTACCTCTCCATTTTCCATTCACTAGTCTGGGGCTTTCTTCCAGCCTGAGTATTTTTACCTTGACTTAGACAAAAGTATGTGTTTTCTTTTTCCTTCTACATGAACATCATTGCTCACCCACAGATGGGTCAGTTAAATACTTATGCAGACTGCTGCACCACCTGGTTGATATTCTGTAGACTGCCAGCTCTCCCTGGGAGGTGCAGAGCTTAGTGAAAGCTGCACTTGCCCATAGTGTCAGACTGGGCAGGGAGTAAAGGACCACGAGAGGAGACAGGACTCCTGGTGGGCAGGTGCAGCTGAACCGGCCTTCTGCTGGCTGAGTGGGGGTAGGGTGGGTATTCGGGGGCCTGCGCAAAGAGCAAGGAAGCTCCAAGGTGTCCAGGAAGAGCCACAAGAGCACACATGACCCACACCCAACACAGCAGGCTATTTGTGCCCCTTGCTATAATGGAATGAAGGATGGTGTTGTCAACCAATCTACACGGTACAGAGAAAATCTGGGCAAAAAGGTGTGGGCAAAGCTGGTTAAAAAAGTTCATTAGATGTTTGCCAAGCATCAGCATGGAGATAGCACCAAAAAACCAACAGTTGAGGCAATTGTGAGGTCTTCTCCCGAGGCAGCTGGAACCTGAGGACCAAGGAAGCAGTTTCATCCAAAGTGATAAAGTGCTACAGACTCGCACCGGGACACGCAACACCACCTCAGTGCAGTGAGGAGAGGGCAAAGGGAGCTGGAGGAGGACTGCTGTCGGGGCTGGGAGCTGTGCTGACCCCCACCAAAGGCAGAGCAGAGGAGGAAAGGGTCACAAAGGATAGCTGGCCAGGAGGAAATGAAAGGTAAGCAAAGAGCAATGAAGAAATGAGTCAGGTGAGCACTTATTTGAAAACGAAGCTAAGTAGGTAGCCAGGTATATATTTTAACCTACCAAATGAGGTTTCTATTGCTTCTTGGTCTTTTGGCTAAGATCAAGTACAAATAAGGAGACTCAAAAAAAAGCTGAAACCCAAAGGCTCTACGCTTATGACATTCCTACGATCGTAAGACTTTAAAATCCACAAGGAAAAGGACTTCCTTGTCCTTCACTGCATCTCAGGTGTCTAGCACAGGGCTGGCACATTATGGGCACTCAATAGATGTTTGTCTGTTGACGGAATCTAAAAACAATATCGTAGAAAGGTTTTCGAGGCCTAACGTCTCACAATGAATATAACGAGTACTTACTGATGAGAGAAGAGAGAACCAAAAGAACATGCACAACTACTTCCAGGGTCAAAAGATGAGATGCTCCTTGGGCACAGGGATGGGGGACAACAGGGAGCAGCAAGTGAGGGTGTCACCACAAGAGAGACACAAAGGCCCGATGAGACCTGTGCTCACCTGAAAGACCACTCGGGACTTCTCCAACAGGTAGGTCCGCATGTTGGCTCCAATGATGTGATACCGCTTGTCAAAGCCGATCTGAATGTACTTTCCAAAGCGGCTGCTGTTGTCATTGCGAGTGGTTTTAGCATTTCCGATGGCCTGTATGGATCAAAAAAAGAAAAGGTGTGCAAAACTGAGGGCTTTCTTAATTTCAGGATTGTATGTTTGTGTGGCAGCACCTGCCTCCCTTCTCTCTCTTCCTTACTTACAGGACCCCTCTGCTATTGGATGGACAATAGGCTGAGCTAAAAAAATAGATATAACAAAGCCCCTTCATTTTCCAGCCTCCTTTGTCCTAAGGATGGTCAGAGAGAGCTAAGAGTTCATTGGGGACTCATCAGGTGGAGGATGCACCCCATTAACCTCCTCCCTTTTTGCTGCCTGGGATGCATGTGTGATGGCCAGGTTGTAGCAATCATCTTGGGATCACAAGGGAAAGGCCTAAAGAATCACAGAGACCTCAGCTCCAGCATCTTTGAGTCACTAAGCCAATGCCAGTGCCCACTAGCTCGAGATGTTTTGTTGGGGGGAGGGAAAGCCTCCCTGTTCTTAAGTCACTTTGATCTGACCTTAGTTACTAGGCAGTCAAATGTCACTCCCACCCCACAACTGGTACTTCTTAGGAACAGACCACAACTTGCTGTTCCCCTCACCTCAGTACTAGGAAGACTTGGGAAGCCTTCATCCCTTTTGGCATCCTTCCTACATAGTGACATAAGCAGAGTTTAAAACACTAGATAATTTTAAAGGTAAGTGGCTAAACAGTCTTACTGCATGAATATTCACTGTCTATAAAACATCACATTGCTAATGCATTGGTAATGAATATGAATTTTAATCCTTTTCGTATGTTTACACTTTTAGGTGGTTACAACATTTGAAAAATACCCACTATAACTTCTAAGTCATCCAGGAAACTCAAAGAAAAAAGTTGAAAGAAATGCCAAAATCCCAACCTTCCTCCTGCTCAGCCCAATCCAAGCAAGAAAACCAGGAGCATCTCCCAACATCCCCAAACCACACAGCGCCCACCCGCCATCTGTTATCAACAAGGGTAGCAGAATAGTTAAAAGCAAATCACTATTGCTTAGAAGGTCAAAGAGTTGACCTGTAAGTAATACTCATGGAAAATGTCTCCTGAAGTCTTGATAAAGAAAATCATCGCCAAAGGGCAAGGGTTGGCCTTTGTCAGTAGGCTGCTTTGCAAAGTGAAAGTATGGATCTATAAACACCGGAAAAATCATTCTGAATAATAATAAAAAAAAACAACAAGCATATCTAGTAAAATTAAACATGCATGCAACTGACAATTCAGCAATTCAGATATTACTTAGTTATTAACTAAAGAAATTCTCAAATAAGTGTACAATGGGGCATTTAAGATCTGTTAAATACAGACTACATTTAACAGTGAAAAAAAATTCAACCTAAATGTTCACCAGTTGGGGAAGAAAAGTGTGGAATAGTCCTACAATGGAAAACTATAAAGCTGTTGATATAAACTAGAGCATAGTTGAAAAAAAGTGTTGAGTGAAAAGCTGCAAAATGGTTGATAGGATACCATTTACATAGGGCCTAACAGTCTGCTGTTTATGCATACAGAGACAGTAAAAAAGGGGTAATATAATTTCAATATAATTGTTTTGTACAATTAAGAGTTACGTATATCAAGCAGTATGAAAACACAGGAAAGAGGCAGGGAGCCATGCCCAGAAGATTGGGAAAGGCTTTAAGAAGTGAGTATTAAAGTGGATCTTAAAATTCATTGAATTTTACCAGTGGAGAAAAAGGATTTTTTTTCTCAGACATGACATGATGACAGCTCAAGGGACAGTCCCTACGATGGCAGTTTGCATAAGGCAGAAAATTAATGTTTTAAGCTCAAACTACGGCAGCCTTAATCTATATGATCACGGATGATAAGGCCGGTTACTGCATGAGGTGCTCCTTCAGACTTTAGAAACTGAAGCACATCTTGTACTTCTGGATGTGCACGTTGCCCTTACATCTCTCCCATGCTGAAGCCCCCAGCTTCCCTGCACCCATACGGGCCATGATGGATGTCACAGTCACCAGGTAACTCTGGACCAGTGCAATTTAAATGGCATTCCCAAAGCGGGGACTCAAATAGGTACTTGCAGATCCATGTTCACAACATCATCCCCACACCCAGGGAGGTGGAGGAGTGGATAAATAAAATGTGGTATAACCATGGAAAGAAATACTGCCCTGCTGTGAAAAGGAAGAAAGCATGTATATGCTAAAACATGGGTGAGCCCTGAAAACTATGCTAAATGAAAAAAACTGACATGAAAGGACAAGTAGCATAGAGATTCCACTTTCATGAGGTACCTAAACAGGCAAATCTACAGAAAGTAGAAGAGAGTCTGCCAACAGCTAGGGGGAAGGAGAACGGAGAGTTACTATTTAAAGAGTATAGAATTTCTTTTAGGGATGATGAAAAAGTTCTGGAAATAGATACTGGTAATGGCTGTACAAAGGTAGTGAACATGTTTGATGCTGCTGGATTCTACACTGGTACTCTGAAAGTGGCTAAAATGGCAGGTTTTATGTTACACATATTTTAATGCAATAAAAAATTAAAAAAAATTTCCCCCACGTCTCATATACATTTTGTAATGTGGTGGTCTGCCTTCACTCAATTCCCAACATGACTAATAATTATCAATACTTTGTTCAGCCTCCAAAGAGGTTTCTTCTGTTCTGCCTATCATAACCACTCCTTTGGGCGGCGCCTGTGGTTCAGTGAGTAGGGCGCTGGCCCCATATACCGAGGGTGGTGGGTTCAAACCCCACCCTGGCCAAACTGCAACAAAAAAAATAGCCGGGTGTGATGGCGGGCACCTGTAGTCCCAGCTACTCAGGAGGCTGAGGCAGGAGAATCACCTAAGCCCAGGAGTTGGAGGTTGACTGTGAGCTGTGACGTCACAGCACTCTACCGAGGGTAATAAAGTGAGACTCTATCTCTAAAAAAAAATAAATAACTACTCTTTTTTTTTTTTTTTTAGAAGCAGTAGCATCTCATCTCTGAAATCTTACCACCTGAAAGACAAACTGAATTTTGCAAGTCAGGGACACAGGAGGGCCTGGTTTCACTCCCATTTGAGGTAAAACATGATGCTAACTGTAAAGTGCTGTCTTAGCTGCTTCACTATGAGCATGGTCTTATGGGTACATGGTCTTTGGGAGGTCATGCCATGGTCCACATATGCCTTCTGAATTGGGCCAGACCCATGCCCTAAGGCTTAGAGCTTAGAACGTTGCTATGAATAACCAGGCTACCAACTAAATGTCAGACAATAGGGAGTTAAATTAAGAGAAAGCCATTCAGTAATGATTTTGCAGCCAATAAGACACATTCATAAGAAGTTTGATGGTACAGGGACAAGGCTTGTTCTGTAATATTTAGTGAAAAGGCTGGATGACTCAACCAAAATGCAGAATGATTATCAACAGGCTGTAGTATTATGTGGATATTTCCTTTCATTCTTGCCTATTTTCCTATGAGCCTTTCATATCTTTTTAACAGGTCAATGGTTCCCCCGCTGTGGCAGCCAGACCAGAAACAGCACCTGGGAACTGGGAGAAATGCAAATGACTGGGCCCCATCTCAAGCCGCCTGAATCAGAAACTCGGGGTGAGGTACAGCAACCTGTGCTTTAACGCGCTCACGGGCAACTCTTATGTATCCTCAGGTTTGAGAAGCGATGTAACAGACTAAGTGCTTTTCTTTTTGTTTTTACCTGTTTGGTTAAAAATGTCATCCATTTCCCAGTTCATATAAGAATACGGAAACTTGCTTTTATTGAATTCTTCTAAAAGTTCTCCAGAAAAATGCAACACTGAAGGCACGAGCTTTTGCCTGGATAATCAACAAACTCTTATGAACAGAGACTCAGTTTACTCCTGTACTTGATAAAGGAAGAGGGAAAGAGGGGCTGGGCAAGGTCCGGACAGGTTCTTGGTTCCCCAGCTTCAAAATCATCTGAAAGACCAACCCCCATGGGGACTGTGTCTTAACTGACAGGCACCAGGCTCTGCGGGGAAACCTGATGCCATCTTGGCAGCTCACTGTCTCAGTAAAGCAAAGGGGTGCCCTGGGCTGGCAGGAGGGCCTGCTCCCACCACATTGGAACCCCGACAATAATGAAGAGCTCTGGCTCCTGAGAGATCAAAGCAGGGACAGTACGGCTATTTGGTTCTACTCTATTAGAATTAAATCTTTACAGGGGAATGAGAAAAAGAAATGGCATTCTGATCATAAACATGATTAGTCATAGCAAGATCTAATTTTTAGGGCTCTCTGGACTGACATTTGTATTAACTGCTCTGAGCCCACTGAAGCCCTAGCCTAGGGGTGATAATAGAGATTGGACCCCAGTAATTTCCTGCCATCACAGAGAACAGTTTTCTGAGAATCTTCATGTCATCACATACCATTTGGCTATACTTTCTTCCTAAAAAGGTAAAATGTCCAAATTTTGGAGGAAAGAATATTCTATGAAGCTTCCTCTCAGCCCTCAGAAAATTGCTCTCTGGATTCAGCAGGCCCTTCAAAGCACCTAATGGTCTAGGGGGACACTGATCTTCCAACACACACTGTCAGTAAGGAAGGGGACACAGTAGGGGCAGGGCATGGGAAAGACTGTCACGGCATTTGGCAGCTTCAAGGGATATGAGACTGTGAGGATATTCTACCCAGTACTCGGGACCCAAAGGACATAGGCAGGTCAAGATCTATGGTTTTAGAGGCACCTTGGCAATTTGTTTGCTCCACAGTGGACAGTAGGCTCTCAGGGAAAGGTGTGACACTGCCCACATGAGCTGCTTCCAAGATCAGTCATGCCAGGCTTACCACCCAGCAGGCTTGTTGTCAGTGGAAGGAATTCCAGCCAGGAAGGCCAAAGCATCTGGAAGGCTTTACCTCCATGATGGGACTGGATGCCAGGACTTTCTCTTCGATGTTGGTTTCACTGGCTGAGCCACCAACAGTGGCAAAATAGCGCATGGCATACTTGGCCGACACCGTCTTCCCAGCTCCAGACTCCCCGCTGACTATGATGGACTGGTTCTTTTCATCTCTGGAAGGGAAAGTACTCTAGTTAGTCATTGGCTATGGGAAGCCACTGCTGCCATCCAGGGACTCTATCTGACGAGGGCCTGAGCCCTGCCTCACACACTGGCATGAGATCTGAGAGAGGGGAGGAAGAAAGCAGCTCTGAGAAGGACTTAACAAAACAGCCATCCCCTTGTGTTATGGCCCAGAGAGATGCAGGCAGCTGGTCACTCTCTGGAGTTCTCTCTGGGTGCACTGCCCCTGGTCCACTCCCTCACACACCTTCCAATAATCACCACACATGAACTTTCAGTTGCATAATTCCCACCTCTATTTCTCAAGGATGCCCATCTTGTACCATTTTATATGTTCTTTATTCAAGAACAAGATTTTCTTCTCTTACATTTGAACCTAGCTTGCCAAAAGATATGGTTTTGAACGTTTTTCATAAGATGTATCATGAAAGGGATGTTATTCACCCCAGCAGGCTGACCTTGCCTCAAGTTTCTTAGAAAATGGATAAAACAGCTATGACTCTCAATAAGAGGTATCTGAATCAGATTGAATGGAAGGCAGAAAGAGGATACTCTGTATTAGTTAAAGACCACACCTATGTTCATCCCTTTAAAATGGAAGGGGAAGCTCACTAGGTCTCCAAGGGAGATGGAGTTTCAAAGTAAGGAATGAGGACAAGTGCTTGGGCCATAGCTGTGCTCAATCATCCACTCCATCCAGTTCACAGACCTACTGCCAAGAGGGCAGGTACTCAATTTTTAATCCCCAGTGCCTGTAACAGGGCCTGGCACAAAGGATAGATTCAACACAAGGTCTAAATTACATTTATGAACTTGCCACTGTGCACTTACATTGGCAGTACTGTACAAACAAGTTGGTAAGGTTTCATAACCTTGGTGTACCAGTGTCTCATGGTTGTGTTCATGTTGACATGGCAGTGTCTTGCTGAGTGGCATTCATTATTGCTGTTGCCTATTTCTGTGTTCTGTCATGAGAATGTCAAAGCTTGAGTTACAGCAACCAATAAACATTTATAAATTTTTTATTAAACTTGGCAAGAGTGGAAGTGAAATCAGGGACATATTAGTCCAAGTTTATGAGGATAGCGCCATGAAGAAAATAGCAGTGTACAAATGGATTAAATGTTTTTCTGAGGGGGGAGAAAGCATCACGGATGTAGAGAAATCAGGATGGCCAGTAGCTTGCAGAACTGATGAAGATGCCGCAAAAATTCAACTTGTGGGACAAAATCATTGGCTGACTTTAAGAAGCACAGCAGACCAAGTAAACATTAATAGAAAAAGGGTTAGGAAAATCTTAACTGAAAATCTTGGCCAACAACTCATGGCTCTTGCCTCATGACAATGTACCAGCTCACACAACATGTCTATGAGTAGCCAGTAAACCAGTAACTGTACTGGAACACCCTCCCTACTCATCTGATCTGGCTTCCCAGTGACTTTTCTTTACCCAAAGATAAAGGAAATATTGAAAGAAAAGCATTTTGATGACTTTTAGGATGTTAAGGGTAATATGACAACAGATTTGACAGCCATTCCAGAAAAAGAGTTCCAAAATAGGCATTGGCCCTGGTGTAAAGCTTCCCAACTGAAGTACTTCGAAGATGACTGTAGAGATATTCAGCAATGAGGCAAGTAGCACTTTTCTTAGGGTGAGTTCATGAACTTAACTGTCAGATCTGTTATATATTGTTGGGATAGAAGTAACTTAGGGCTCAACTGTTCTAACCCCCTTTTCCAAATGAAGGCAGTCTTATAACTCAGGTCTTTTACATCAGCCCCAGTGTCTTCCTAGGCAGAGTGGGCTGGAGAACAGAGAAGCCACCATGGACAGCTCGCCCACCTTCCTGATTATCAACACAGGTAGGCTGTCACTCACCAGCATGGGTGAATGAATGATGGACTCCCTTCTGAGATGGGCCTATAGCCAAGAATATGGAAAAGCAGTGTGATGATAGAAGGAATCTCTATCATCCATCTCTACCATTAGAGGTAGACCAAGAGAGAAAAGAACCAGGCTGGATATGGGTGGGAGGACTGGTGGGAGGACTGGGGAGAGAGTCATGTAGTAGCTGGGATGAAGAAATCTTCACCACCAGCTGCTCCTCAAGGTCAGCAAGGAGCTATGTGACCTTAGCTTTAGTCAGCTATGGCGAGAAGACTGAGTGGACACAGGTGGTAGTAGACACTGTTAAGATGAAGCTGAAAGAACACCTCTTTTAAATAAACAATACAATGAATTACTTCAAGATTTATATAGAATCCTATATAAATTGGGGGATGGAATTACAGAGGCTTTCTGAGAGCACTCACAGTTCTAGAATATTACTGTTGTCAAAGCACCTGTTTCTTCTTTCCTGGCTCCTCTGAAATCTTTACATTGAAAGGTGGCCTCTGTGGAAGACTATGGGTGCTTATGTTTCCAATTCTCATTCATCTTCTATTTAATGTTATACTATATCCATTGGACCTACAGGATAATGGGTTTCACCTCTACTTTCAAGGTCTTAATTTTCAAGTACTTAGAGAACTGCTCCAAAGCACAGTCACCCAGGCACATAAGAGCACAATAAGCTGGGGGTGGGGGGAGCACTGCCAGGCTCCCATGGCAACACAGCATACACAGGGAACTGCCCTGAGGGCACACCTGGCAAGACAAACAAGGCACAAACCAGCAACACTTGTCACTTTCCACTTACATTGTCAAGACACAATCACCCTGCACATGGTTGGGAAATGACTCATACAAGAGGCAGAAAATTCTGAGGAACAAGCAGAAGGGGAAGGGGGTCACACATCAAGAAGAGGAGCTAGGTAGGTTATGTGACAAATGTCAAGAATTCAAAAGGAGAAGGAATCAAGGCTCTGAAACAAAACACCCAGCAGGATGTGAAAGCGAATTTAGGGGTCCTAATAAAAATATACATATATGGCCAAGAAGTTATCATAAATGGGGAATCATAAATAACCTCAAGTTTTAAAAAGCTCATCTTTACATTTGAGGTTCCTTGAAGGAAAAAATCTGGGAAATGACCATTAGCACTAACTCTAATCTGATGGATATTAGATCCAATGCTGACATGTACACTAAAGTCAGACAGAGTCTCCTCTTAGACTAGAAAGTACCTTCAACAACTCCCCTAATTTAGACTGATGTGAAATATTTGGAAAAATTGACAATTTTACTTAGCTCCACTAGACTTTTCACATGAGCCTGCCCACTCCCCCCTCCCCAGCCTGCGCCAGGCCACGTGTGCACTAGGTCTGGGCACACTGCTATCTAGCAGCTGTAAGGGGCACCACCACTCTCACTTTGTTCCACATGTGCAGGCTCAGTAGAGAATTGGAATTCAGAATAAGGACTGTAAAGACTCACACGTGAACCTCACCTATACCACTGATCAGCCATGTGACTTCTGACATACATAGCTCCCTCATTTGACCCTCAGATTAATCTCAGTTCAGCCTCTTAGGGCTTTGATCCCCAAAGCCCATGCTCTTCTAGGTGGTCACCTTGATTTAGGCACCTCAGTCTCTAATTCATCCTAACCCTCCTGACAGGTTTTTTTTTTTTTTGGAGATAGAGTCTCACTCTGTTGCCCTGGATAGAGTGCCATGTCATCATCGCTCACAGGAATCTCAAACTCCTAGGCTCAAATGATCCTCCTGCCTCAGCTTTCTGAATAGCTTGTACTAAAGGCTCCTATCACAATGCCTGGTAGGAGCCTTTTTTTTTTTTTTTTTTTTTTTTAGTTGACAGGCTGGTCTTGAATTTCTGAGCTCAAGCAATCCATCCAGCACAGCCTCCCAGACTGCTAGGCTTATAGGCATAAGCCACTGCGCCCAGCCTGCCAGGTTAAGTTTTTAAAGCACATCTCTAATCAAGTTTTTCCCACTCAAACAAGTTAAATAGCTACTCATCACTTATCAAGTCCAAACTCCTTAAGTTGAGCACGTGAGGCGCTCTATAATGCACACCCCTAAAGTACAACCCTTTAACAAGCACAGGGCCAACTATGGTTATGTGAAAAGGAACCTGAGTTTTCAGTTTCAGGGCCTGCCCCAAGTCCTGGTTTTGCATCAACAGATTCCTGTAAGCCCCTTATCCACATTGCAAAGGATATCCCCCCAACTCTGTAAGCCACTTACCCACACTGCAGAGGACACCCCCCAACTCACATACTTGCTGTTACATGAGAATCTCCACACTTCTTATAAGATGATGGTATTTTAGTTTAGCCAAACAGGACTGCTTTGAAGACAATTTCTCATATCCTCTCTACATAAAGTCACCTTCCATATATACCTTTCTACTGAAGTCCTACCCTTGTCCATACCAGGACAGTCCTGACTCCTTGCCTGGACATCCCAGAAGCATTATTTCTCCATCCAAGTCTCACTTTACTTACTTTGTACCATTTTAAGACATTGTCACATTTCATCTCATATCAAGGTACCAAGCATTAAGAGTTAAATGATCAAACAAAGGGGATTATTAAATTGAGCTGGAGTTGGGCCACTGCAAAGCAGGAGAGAAGAAAGAAAGAGGCTTCAACATTGTCAACAGAGAGAAGACAGCCATGCATGAAGAAGGAGCGAGTGCTCAGCCCCCAGAGCTTCAGCAGAGGAGCAAGTTCGGCAGGTGCGTCTTCTCTCTGGCCGTCCACCTTTGCAGCTCTAAAGTAAAGTGCTGTGCCTTGGACTTCCCCAAGTGATCGTTTGTCTCTGACACTTGATTCCCTGACAAAAATCCTAACAGGAAGCATAGTTGGGGAAAGACTTATTTTCAATTTTCAAAATTTGGGTATTTAGAACTAATTGTGGAAGAAACATTTACAAGCAAAGAATTCTACTTGATGTCGTTCAAAAATATAACCTATGTATGACTCCATCCACTCAGCCCAGTCCCTTTGCTGGCAACTTTTTTTTTTAAATTATTTTTCTTGAGGTTTTTTTTTAATTGTTTGAGATTCTGGAATTAGGTTATGCT